TTGATGATTTCCTTTGCTGTGAAAAAACTTTTAAGTTTGATCCCATATGTTAATTTGTTCTTTTATTTCCCTTGCTTTTCTTTTTTAATGTATGGAATTTTTCAACGTTTTCATACGCCAGAAATCTGGGAAATATTTGAGCAGCCCTTGACCGCTGATATAATTAATTATTTCAACATAGTTAATGACTTAAACAAAGCAAAATAATTATAGCATAAGTAAAATGCTATGCTTACATTTCAGGTTTCCCACAATTCGCAGTTAACTAAGATAATGCACGTCTGTGTCCCCAGCTTGTGAATGTGACCCTGATGGGACCATATCGGGTGGCATTTGTGTGAGCCAGTCTGATCCTGCCTTGGAGTTGGTGGCCGGCCAGTGCCTGTGTAAGGAGAACGTGGAAGGAGCCAAATGTGACCAATGCAAGCCCAACTACTTCGGACTGAGTGCCACTGACCCCGTGGGCTGTCAGCGTAAGTCAACAGCCGCTGGGCCGCCAGCCGAATGCGTTTTAAAGCTTGGGGCTGTCTCTGTCACCTCTAAAATTCGATCAATGTAAATACTAAAGAGTTCTTCTTGATTTTTAGAAGTGATACAAAACCTCCTACAAATTTTATTTAAATTAGTGGAGAACTTTTCTCCGTGGTTTGCTGAGTTTATCATAAGGGGCCAGCAGGGGGCGCTCACATTTTTTTCTTCTGGAGCAAACGCAATGGAAAATGCCAAGAAATTTAACAAGTTGCTAAACCTTCAGAAGAATGGCCTCCAATAAGACTCTACTATGCAAATTCGTTAAATTACATTATGCATTTCTGCAAAGATCGATAACTTCTTGAGCAATTTTAACGTAGTAGTTTCTTTTCGTTTTTTAAAAAAATTACTTTTCCCCTTTCTTCTCATACCCCTCCTGGTATTGGTCCTATGTTCTCTGACAAAGAGAAGAGAAAAATTAAAGAGCCAGGGGAGGGGTCGCAGAGAAACAGAAAGAGCCTCAGAGCTATGCACCCAAATGAAGAGACCCTTGGCTGTGGGATCGCAGACGCTGCCTGGGTCTCAGAGCTGCAGAATCCTTAGGGAATCTGGATAAATAATTTCCCTTCTGTCACAGAGTCATGCTCTATATTTTCCCCCATATAGGGAGCTGTACATTATTTGCAAGTTTAGAGAGCAGCATGCTGAATCCTTCTGTAATAAAATGATCTTCTTGAGTTTGATGGCAAAATTAAATTTCAAGATAATGAATTATACAGTCAAGCCAATTGCCCATCATACCTTGCAGACACTTCGCCTGGTTCACTGACTAACCTCATGCCCTCTGAAAATAGGCTAAATAGTCTGTGTGTGGGGGGGGGGAGGGTCAATTTTGTAACAACTTTAGTGAGATATAGTTCAAATACAACACAATTCACCCTTTAAAGTGAAAAATTCATTAATTTTTAGTATATTCAGAGCCATGTAACCATCGGTACAATCAATTTTAGAACATTTTCATCACTCCCAAAAAAAGCCCCATACTCTACATGCTACAACATAGATGACCCTTGAAAACATTATGCTAAATGAAATAAGCCAGACACAAAAGGACAAATTTTGTGTGACTCCACTTATATGAAGTACCTAGAATAATCAAATCTACAAACAGAATGTATAATGGTGGTTGACAAGGGTTGGGTGGAGGGAGGAAAATGGAGAGATGGTGTTTAATGGGTATAGAGTTTTAGTTTTACGCAATGAAAAGAGCTCTGAAGATTGGTTGCATAACAATGTAAGTGTTCTTAGCACTACTGAATTGTAGACTTAAAAATGGTGAAGATGGTAAATTTTATGTTAAATGCATTTTACCATAAAAAATAAAAGAAACTCCATGCTCTTTAGCCACTACCTCCCTATCCCCCCAGCCGTATGTAGCCCGAATCAACTTGCTGTTTCTATAGATTTGCCTATTGTGGACATTTCATAAAATGGAATCCTATAATTTGTGGTCTATATGACTGGCTGCTTTCACTTAGCATAGTGTTTTCAAGATTCATCCATGTTGTAGCATCTATCAGTACTTTTCCTTTATATTGCTGAGTTATATTCCATTGTATGGATATACCACACTTCATTATCCATTCCTCAGTTGATGGACATTTGGGTTGTTTCCACGAGCACTGGTTTTTCCTGCAGGGGAAATGTATACCTCGCCCTGGGAGCATAATATTTTAGCCTTCATCACATATGCAGGACTCAGAAATGTCTATGGGTGGGAGAGAAAAAGGAGGAGGAGAATGAAAAGAGGAAGTAACAAGACAACAAAGAAGACAGGGACATCATAGGGAAATGATAGATGCATCTACCAGAGAAAGACCCACCAATAATAACCGTGACACTCAGAAACGCTTGCCCCTAGTCTGCGACCCTGTCCACATCACTCAGGATGACGGTCCCGACTGCTCAGCTTGCACGACTTCCTCCCTTTCTTGTCTCCTTCTAATTGCCACCCAGTAGACCTACGCGAAGGCTCTGGACGTGTCTGGCACTGGATCCCCTGTGCAGGTTGTATGCAGCACAGTAGTCACGCAGCCAAGCAGACAATCAGCTTGGCAGGAGAGGCTGCTCCACGTTCTGGTGGCCACGCGTTTTGCTCAGTGAGCTGGTAAGGACATTTATGAAAGTGGGGAAATAGAAATGAATAATGGCGTCTGCTGTGCTTTCAGCCTGCAACTGTCATCCTGTTGGGAGCCTGCCTCTCTCAACCTGCAATGAGGACACGGGCCAGTGCCCATGCCAGCCCCTTGCCACCGGACCACGCTGCGAGGAGTGCGCTGTATGTATTTCCTGCGATTTCCACATTTGTAGAGATGTACATTCCTACAGCCATTGCCTAGTAGAAATTCGGTCTTGTTAAGTGTTTTACTTGTCCTATTGTATTTCGGTACTCTTGTGGTAAAAGGATTTACACTGCAGCAATCAGCCAACACCATAAATCAGCCCCCGCCCTCCTGTGGAGAGCTGGTGGTTAAACAGTTACCAGCACACCAACATTTACCAGATTGCGCTGAACCGACCCAGGCACCTTGTCAATATTTTGTTGTTGTTGTTTTCATTTTACTGTGCTTTGCTTTATTGTGTTTCATAGATGTTGCCGAGTTTTGTTTTTCAGTTAACATACAATATTATATTAATTTCAGGTATACGGCACCTAATTAGTGTTGTAATAACTGACTAGACATTTATATACTTTACAAAGTGATCATCATGATTAGCAGCATAGGGAATATAGCTCATGTCAATTGTTTTATTCATTGTTCTCTTAAACGTGCCACGCAGTAGAATATAAGAGCGTTTATCAGCCCCCTTTTTTCCATCCACCAGATGGGGCCTCTTCTTCCATCTCTTGCACACAGGCCTTTACCACCCCTACCACTCCTTGCCTAAAAATATTTTGGACGAGCTCATTAAAAAAACAAACAAACATAAAAAACCTTGGGTTTAAATGTACTATAGATTCCTGCGGGAAATAAACGCTTGGATTTTTTGCAGACTCCACTAAACATATGAGCAAGGATGTCTAAAATTAGTCAAATAAAACATTTTTACTCCATAAGAAATCTGTCATGCAACTAGGGAATCCAAACCCAACTGTTTTCTTTGTTCTCCAATCTTGGCAACCCACCATGACATTTTAGAGAGAAAAAACAAAAACCTAACCTAGTAAAAGAACAGTGACCTTGATGTGTCTGAAGAAATGTAGCTGATAAATAAGAAACACATGCCTATTAGGACATAGTTTTGTGCTAATATTTTAAGTCATTTTACTGAAAACATATGAGGATGGGGCAGAGGAAGTGGGGAAAGAAAACAGAAGTAAGGAAGAAGAAGGCACTCTATGTGGGACCAGGTAGGTAACCTCGAAGTTTTGCGGAGGAAGGTGAGCATGCAGAACTGCGTAACAGGATCCAGGAAGACACCGCATCAGATCATTCCAGACAAACCTTAGACTCAGGCTGGCTTTTCGTTGGCAGGTTAGGTGCCACTGTGCAGTTAGCGTGATTGTGTTTGTAGAGGAAAAGAACTGAGTTGGGGCCACCTGAAAGGGAGCTTGTCGATTGTGGCTGAGCCTGTCCATCTGCCAAGCGCTCCACACCCACATCTCTCCGATGGTGCCCTGGACCTGCGCTGAGGCGGCCAACACAAAGCGTGCCCTGCCCAGAGGGAGTTTTCATTGCCACCACATCCTGCGGGAAGCGGTTCATTTCACATTCTTTTTGCCTAAACTGAAGTTTGGTTTTGGGAAAAATAGCAAAACTCTTTTGCTGTATTTTGTAACAAAGTATGTCCACTTTTAAGTGTTTAAAATAAATCTTTTTGAGTAAAATTAGGTGTAAAATTTTATCAGGATTTTAAAAACATATGGATATTTAAAAAATACATTTCACACAATTGTTCCATGCCTAGTAAGATCTTAATTTTATCTGAGCATGTTAAACTGAGATTTGAGGGGTAAGTATTTTTCTGAGCATTTTTGGTAAATGTTATCAGATTTAAGAAATAGTTGTTTGTATCTCACCAGTTGTTTATACTGAATAAAGGTCAAGATGTTGCAATGATGAAAAGGTCTTGAACAACAAAGCTGACTCTCTCATAGAGAGGGAGTATTATGCCCAAACAACTATTTATAAACAAGCAATTCTACTAAACAGATATTCACGTAAGATCTCAAAATCAGCTTGATTGATTTTTTTACCCCAAAATGTTTCCATACTGTGTAGGTAAAAATCCCTAGGGATTTTGCAGTAAGGGGATCTATTGGTTTTATAAAAGCAGCTGCAACTAGGCTAGTCGAAGAACTCCTGACTGGCCTGAGCCCAGCTGGAGGCTACATTGGTGCTGTCAGAGGCACTGTGTGGTTTCTACTGCATTTCCACACGAAGCAATACACAGAAAACTCGCCTGTCCCCTTCACTGCAAGTCCCAGGAATGGCAGACATGTGTCCTTGAAGATCATTACCAAGTGCACAGGCAAAAAAGGCTATTGTGTGATTGATTAGGCTGTGTGGCCATTTGATAGGTATAAATTGAACTGTGGTGCTTTGAATATTACACTTCAGAGCAGCAAATATCCTCATAGCTGAATGAACTGAGCACTTTTTCTTTGTAGGCTGGATACTGGGGACTGGAAAGTCATCTTCATGGATGTTCTCCCTGTAACTGTGATATTGGAGGTGCTTATTCTAACATGTAAGTCAGTAAAATGAATGACAGTTTTGTGACGATACTTCTCACTCACATGTCCACATAAAAGCACATTGATTCTGATAGGCTCATAGTCACAGGTGAAGGACTTTATTCTATGACAAGCAAAGGGCATCAAAACGTGGTGATCTTGAGACAGTAACTACAGTGCAGTTGATTTATTTTATTTCATACATTTCCAAGGGTGAGGTGACAGTTCTACTGCCTGAGTCTCCCGTAAGGTGGTGGGGTAGATGCCTGCAAATGTGAGACTTCCCCTGCTTCACACGCCAACTTTTGCTATCCTGTAAGGAGAGGTCTTCCACTCTTTTTTTCCCAGTTTTTAGAGTAGAATCAAAGAGCCACTGAGCAAAGAAGTGGCTCCCAGGTTTCATGGATCTGGACTTACCATTGATTGATTGACCCAAAGCATGGATCTAAACTCAGGGTGCAGTTAGCACAGCACCCCCGTGTCTTCATTTTATACTTGCCCCTGTATGTTTTCTCAGATAGATTTGTTTTTCCTCAGGTGCTCCCCCAAGGATGGGCAGTGTGAGTGCCGTCGCCATGTCACTGGCCGCAGCTGTACTGAACCAGCCCCTGGCTACTTCTTTGCTCCTTTAAATCACTATCTCTATGAGGCCGAGGAAGCCACAGCACTACAAGGACTGGCACCTTTGGTTTGTATTCATTTAGTCTCCTACAGACTCCATTTAATCGAGTGTCAGTGATGCTGCACACCCTAGAGATCATGGGTACGGTACCTGGAAAGGAATGGTTTTGCCCAGTAATGCAGAGTAGAGCAGTTGATTCTGTCATGGAACTGCAAAGTATACTAATTCTAGAGGGCAGGGTCTGCATTTTGTTTATCTTTGTATCCCAGTTCCAGCACAGAGCCTGGGACATGAATGTGAATTGGATTAAGCTGTGGTGAAATGGACTTTGCTTTTGCTCTTTCGACATACTCATCAGATAGAATGTGTTTATTGAGCATCTGCTTGTGTCTTCCCCATGACACTCTAACCCATGAGAGGAAAGGGAGGCTGTGTATCCCATTCACCATTGTTGTTTTAGTGCCTAGCACAGAGCCTGTCACATAGTAGGAACTTGATAGATCTCTGCTAATGCATGAATGAATGAATGCGTGAATGCGTGAATGAATGAGGTACATGAAAGCAGTGTAAATGTGCTCTCTGGCCTCCTGAAGCTGCTCTCAGATTAGCTGTTTTCACTGAAGTCGGTGATGTTCACAGGAGCGTGTGATTGCAAGTGTCATTTGGAGCTCTTCTTCATTTCCTACAGGTCACAGTCCTCTGGAATATATTCCCTAAAAATCGTTTTCTAAAAGCCTTGTTAGAGGTGCAAACACACACACAGGTGAAAGGATTAGAGAAAATACAGATTTGGCTGCTGTAACATCCTCAAGCATGTGGGTCCAGCCACAGAAGGGAATGTGACCAAGGTAGAGGAAATGTCAGGTGAAAGTCTTCAGGAGAGAAAGCACATGAAAATCGATTTGGAAGGCAGCATTTGCTTAAAAAACTTGGAGCTCATTCCAGGGTCCAGTGACTAAGTCATTTCCTAAGGTCTCTTCCTCATTTGGACACTGTTGGTGGGAAGGATAAAAATGCCCCTTAGGAGTCTTGGAATTTGCTTTTTTAGAGGCTGGAATTGTGGCAGGAGCAGGAGACCTTCGCTGTCCCTATTTAGACTTACTACTGTGGTGGGTGGGGTCCCAATGAAACAATTCTGTGTCTGCATTCTTCTTCATGGTTTTTAACATAGCAACTTTATAATGGTGATGAAAAAAAACTTGGAGAGACAGTAGTCGTGGCCCTGGCTCCTGACCCAGAGTTCCTAAATCCTTCGGAATTTCCTGGGTCGTAGGAGGAGATAGGAGTGCTCTTTGTTTTAATAAGGCGACTCTTGGTGGGCCACAGGGAGGCTTCAGGATGTGGACTGGTCACCAGAGAGACTAAGCCCATATTAGAAGCTTGAAACTTTCAGACCAGCACCCCAACTTCCAGGAAGGGGAGCGGGCTGGAGGCTGAGTTAATGATCCCTCATGCCTACGTACTGCAGCCTTCATAAAAATCCCCAAAGTACCGGGTTCAAAGAGCTTCCATGTTGGTAAACACATCCATGTGCCAGGAGGGTGGTGTACCCCGATTCCAAGTGGACACTACGTATCTCTTCATCTGACTGTTTATCTTATCTCATATCCTTTATTATGTAATAAACCAGTAAATGTAAGTGAGCGTTTCCCTGAGTTCTGTGAGCTATTCTAGCAAATTGTCAAACCCAAGGAGAGGGGTCACAGGAACTCCAATTTGTAGCCAGTAGGTCAGAAGTATGGGTAACAAGCTGGACTTCCAACTGGCATCTGAAGGGGTGAGGCAGTCTTATGGGACTGAGCTCTTAGCCTGTGGGATCTGACGCTAACTCCAGGTAGACAGTGTCAGAACAGAATTAAATTGTAGGAGAGCCAGCTGGTGTCAGAAACTCAGTTAGTGTGTGAATGAACTGACAAATCTGGTGTCAAAAGTGTTGTGAATGTGTTGATAGTAAGAGTAGAGGAGAAACACAAGAGTGTTTATCCTATACAACTATAAACACAATAGTTCCCATTTTTCAGATAAGAAGACACAAAACAAACATGATTATGTAAGAATAGACGACTGTTCCTTAACGTTTATTCAGCATGCACCATGTGGTGGGTGCTGACAAGCGATTAAATAGGATAATATCATGTATATTAATATCACATATGCTACTACAGCTCCACATTGTAAGTAGAGTGTCTGACATGAATCCTTACTCATCTCTCCAAGGCTTAAAGAAAAATATTGAGGATACAGAATAGGTTTAAAAGGCAAGAAAATTTGCTTAAAGAATTGGAAAGTAATACTTGTGACGAAGGAAAGGAAATTCAAGGTGGGATTGATATTAAGTGTTTAAGGGGTAATAACGTGAATAATTTTCTTCTAAAGAAAATGATCTTTAGGTGTAGTAGAAAGAATTTATGTTAGACACCATTGAATTATTTGTGTATTCTTTTAACAAATATTTATTATGCACTTACTATGCTGTTGCTGCCACTGAGACTAATAAAACTTCCATTGATTTAATGCTCTGTGCTTTGCACTTTATAAACTTTATCTCATTCAACTTCCCAAACATCCTAAGTATTAATTATCTGTAATTTCCAGATGAGGGAAAACAGAGAGGTTAAGTAACTTGCCCAAAGGCACACAGCTAGTGGACAGTGGGACCTAGATTGAAATCCAGGTGTGTCTGGTTTCAAAACTTGTTCTTAACCCATCAATATGTTGCCCACTCATGAGCATAGTGCTGAGCTTCAGGCTAAGGGTGGCATAGAAAGGGATTAGAGTTCCTGCCTTCTCCGTTTTTAACTATAGCTAACACATTTACATAATACATAGATAACTCTGATGGGGGCAGTGCCATGTGAAAAGGAGAGTCAATAAATACATTAGGATTTGGGAGCCATGAGTGATCTTTTGTGAACAGGCTTAACATGCAGGTAGAATAATTGAAAAAAACTGGGGTTTCAATTGGTAGACTAGGTGAGAAGATGGTCCAACCAGGAACAGTTATAACGTGTCAGAGGAGAAACAATGCAGCTGTTACAAGATGCAAACAGTTGATAAGTCAAAAAAAAACAAACAAACCAATAAACAGAATCCCAGTGTGGCCTGTCCAAGGGGCCCTCTTCACCGAGGTGTGGAGGAGCTGGTCAGAGAGCACGGTGATGCTGAACGGTAGACAATGGAATAAGAGGGTCCTAAAGTGGCCACAGCTGACATCAGGGCTGCCTTCTAATGATGAAAAGCAACAAGGGCACCTGTGAAATTTAAAATCCTGTTTGTAAAACCAACAATGAAACATCAGCCAAGCAAACATCAATGTCTAGTGAAAATTTGAAAATGAGCAATTGGAGACTAATTGGGTTGGCAGCTGAATGACGAAGATGATGATATAAAAGAGAAGCCCACACAGCCCAGATTGTTAAATTTTAGACCAGTGACGCAGATTTGAGTCTATATATTTAAATGCCCAACCCTCCATGTATTAAAGGAAAGTGCAGTTGCATGAATGCAGCTCTTCTGCTTCAGTCTGGCTGGTGGAATGTGGCTGTCCTGGTATAATCTCTCGTGGAACTGACAAGGCCAAACCCTACAAACTGAGAACTAAGAGGAATTGATCTGGAGCTTGTCAAAAGTTACACACACCATCTAATAAATCTTTGAATGTTTCTTCCATACCTATTGTTGACTTTCTACAACTTTCTTCTTGAGATTTCATGTTAAAACATAGCATTTGTACTTTTTTTCTAAACACCATGAAACCAGTAATAAGAATAAATGTTTTCCCAGTTTAGAATTCCACTAGCAAGGCATCCTTTCAAAAGAAAACTGAACACATGGTCTTAGGACCACCAAAAATTTCCCGTTTTCACAGAAAAACAAAAAATTTTAAACTCTCTCAATGACTTCTTCCTGAAGCTATTAAATGAGTGTCATGATTACCTTTTAAATTATGGGATGGTCTGAAACTCTTGAACTATGGTCTAATTAGATCTTTTGTTGGTTACTTAAGCTGTCATTTCTTTTCTTTTTAAGATATTAGCAACAGCTCTACCTACATGTGATGTGTATTTCCAGCAACAAGGAAATGATTTCATAATTGACAAAGGAAATATAATACTGAAAAGCAATCAGAAGCAGAGCACATATCCCGGCGAGCGGAGTGAGGTAAGCCCTTTCTTCATGGCCATTGTCTGTCGTGCCGTAAATAGCTAACCTCGGCAATACACTCAGAACCGTGCCTGGCCCATGTAAGCACCCAGTCAATGTAAGCTCTTATCCTCAAAAACAGAATGGAGAAAAGGAAGAAGCAAGCTCAAAGTAATCACAGCCTCTGGAGAAAGCTTCAAGGGCTTTATTTTCACAACGAAAATTTCTAGAAAGCTGGATTCTGAAGAGTTGGCAAGTCGGGTACTGTGAATACACAGTTTCTTGTCGTTTCATTAAGAAAAGGTACAGTGCTGAGGAATGGCTCTCCTCCTAATTGGAGAAAACAGTATGCTGATGCCCCTGGGATGGTGCTTGGCTATGCCCTCGATTCGAGACGGTTGTAGTTGGTCAGTGCTGGTGTGAGTACCAGGATGACGCCAGCTCATCAGAGCCCTGCCTCCAGGGGCTTCAGAAGGCCAGAGGAGACCTGAGGACCTCACAGAAACCCCACTACTATTCACTCCAACTTGGCGCTGCTGTGGGTCCATGTGTTCGTTCGTTCATTCATTACACCAGGATCTTTAGTGAGAATTTCTGTGTTTACATGATGACTGGGCATATTGGAAAAGCAAATCAAAGCAGGCATTGGCTATCTTGTTTACAAACCTAGTGCCTGAAACAGTTCCTTTCATTTGGAGATATCTTCTTGAGCAAATGAAATGGTTGGCTGAATGACAACAGAAATATTTAGTCATGGAGCCTGTTCTTCAGATTGTCGCTGGGGAAATGAGCCACGTACACAAACAACGAGTGTGTGCCAGGGTGGGGTAGGTGCTTAAAAGAGGTGCACGTAGGTAATACGGCCTTCTGGTTAGGGGGTAGGACCTCCAGAAGAGAGGCCAGTGAAGGCTTCGTGGGTGGTG